TGAGCCACACCCCAGTCCCTCATGGGGGATTCTAGGCAGGTGCTCCACCACTGAGCCCCAGCCCCAGCCCCTCATGGGGGAGTCTAAGCAGGTGCTCTATTCTCCAGGGACATAGTCAGTGATGGCGGAGTGCTGGCATTCAGTGATGTCACTTGCTCACGTGTCCTCTGACTGTCCCTTCCCCCAGTCCCTGTCCCTCTGTGTCAGACTGCAGCCCTAGGGCTGGAGAGCAGGAACTATGGATTGTTTATCTTGCTGAAGACTGAAAAGCCTCAGGAGAAGGGAAGGATTGTATATGACCTGACTTTTTAATATGATACTTTGAGAAGTCGGTTTGAGCAGGAAAATCAATTCTGCCTCATCCGCCTTCTTAGTCTCATTTTCTCTCCACAGATGACAGGTCAGACTCCAGTATCTCTCAGTGAGGGAATCCAGGCCCCATCACTGCCAACCCAACCCAGGAAGGCAGGTTTCTACGTACTTGAGTTTCTCTTCTCTTAAGCATGAACATGGGACAAAGGCCCTTGTCTTTTCTCACCTTCGTCTCTCCTTAGGGCTGCGAAAAATGCCTGGCACTGAACTCCCAGATTCCTGTGGGCTATGCACAGCACATTCTGTCTATAGTTTGAAAGCAGATCATAAGACATATAAGACTCAAGGAGGTGCTTGGTTCCCAGGCCTTGTCCTCAGTGTCAGCAAGTTTGTTAGGAAGAAGGCTGAACTAATGAAAGGCTGACAAATCCTCCATGCTGTATGGAAAGAACTTTCCTCCAATGGGTGCATCCTTCTGCTGCAAGTGCTTTACCATGAGCCATACCCCCAACCCCTCACTGGGGGATTCTAGGCAGGTGCTCTTCCACTAAGTCATATCCCAGCCTCTCACTAGGAGCCATACCCCAAACCTCACATTGGGAGATTCTATGCAGGAGTTCTACCATGGAGCAATGCCCCCAGCACCTCACTAGGGGATTCTAGGCAGGTGCTCTACCATTAAGCCACACCCCTAACCACTCACTGGGGGATTCTAGGCAGGTACTATACACTGAGCCACACCCCCAGCCCTTCACTGGGGGATTCTAGGCTGATGGTCTACCATTGAGCCATAGTCCTCACTGGGGGATTCTAGGCAGGTGTGCTACTACCGAACCATGCCTCCAGCCCCCACTGGGGGATTCTAGGCTGATGTTCTACCATTGAGCCATGCCTGAGCCTCTCACTGAGGGATTCTAAGCAAGTACTCTACCACTGAGCCAAGCCCCATAACCCCTAATGAGTGGAATCTAGGTAGACTCTCTACCTCTGAGAAACAGTCTTTGTCCCTCACTGGGGAATTCTAGGCAAGTTAGTACTCTATCACTGAGCCACACCCTCAGCCCCTTTTCATTTTTTCATGTTTTCCTCACTAGGTTGCCCAGGCTAGCCTTGAGCTAATTCTAGAGTCCAAACAGGCCTTGAACTTGTGATACTCCTGCTCCAGCTTCCTGAGTACCAGGGATGGTAAGCGTGTGCCACCAGGTCTACCTTACCTACAACTCTTGATCAGGGTGTCCAGAGTTGGGGGACTCTGTGTCTCTGATCTCTCCACCTCTGTTGAACTCCCACAGCACATCCTGTCTTTAAGAACTTGTAGCAGTGTGTGCAGAGAGAGGCCCACCTGAGTCTCAGTTCAATTTTAAAAACATCACTGCTTGTATATGTGTACAAGTGCATGCATATATGCATGTGCACTTATGTGTGCTGCATGTGCAGAAGCATTTCTGTGCATTTGTGTACCTATGCATATGGAGGACAGAAGAGAACATCAGGTGTTATTCCTCAGGATCTGTCCACATTGGTGTTTTGTTTGTTTGCTTGTTTGTTTTTTAAGACAGGGTCTCCCTGTAACCCCAGCTGGCTTGGAACTCACTATGTAGACCAGGCCGGCCTTGATCTCACAGAGATCTATCTACCTCTGCTTGGGATTAAAGGCATGTGCCACCACGCTCAACTCTACCTTGTTTTTTGACACAGGATCTCTCATTGTCCTGGAGCTCCCCACATAAGTGAGGCTCATTGGCCAGTGAGCCCCAGCGGTTGACCTGTCTCTGCCTCCCCAGTACTGGGATTACAAATGCATTCCACTATGCCTGGCTTTTTACATGGCTTCTGGGAATGGAACTCAGGTCCTCATGCTTATACAGCAAGCTCTTACTGAGTCATCTCCCCCGCCCCTGTCCATTCATTCTCTTTCTGTCTCTCCCTCCTCCACCCTCTCTCTTTCTTCCTCCCACCTTTAGTTCACCTGAGGGCCTAGTTGCAGAGGCTGCCTTGTACATGAGAATCACCTGGGTGACCTAGGTTTTCCATTCCCCCAACCAACTCCCTCAGTCCCTAGGGATGGACTTTGTGTGGAGAAACACCAAAAACCCTCAAAACACCTGTGGCTGCTGAAGGCATTTAAGGCAGACCCTGGTGCTAGCAGCAGCAGCTTCCTGCTAGGTGAGTGTGGGTGAAGGGTAGCTCTCTCCAATGCTGGCCGATGTGTGGGGTCCTTCTGTCTGGGCACTGACTGACCTGGCTCTTTGCTTTTGCTGGCTGTGCAGCTGTCTGGGGCTGTGGCCCTTCACAGTGGAGGAGGAGGCTCTTAGGACCCTCTGCAAAGCTGGGCAGCTTGACTAAAGGGGCAGTTCTGCGAAGGCCTTGGCCGCTGTCTCTCCTGGTTGAAATTAGCTGTGGGTTATGACTGTGTGTGTGACTCTGAGCTTGATTTTGGGATGGCTCAGGAGGAAGTAGCCATTGCTGGATGGGCACTTAACTCTGCTTAGCCCACATGTAAGTTTGCAGGGTTAACTTGCCTCATTATAAAATAGGCTTGGGCTGGGCATGGTGGCACATGCCTTTAATCCCAGCACTCAGAAGGCAGAGGCAGAGGCAGGTGGATCTTTGTGAGACCGAGGCCAGCCTTATTTACATAGTTTCAAGCCAGCTGGGGCTATAGGGAGACCCTGTCTCAAAATAAATGAAATAAAATAGGCTTAGTATTCCCAACCACAAGATAATGTGTTTAGACATACTAAATGTAGGCTTAGGGTAATGTTTCACAAGTTAGCTGTGTTAAATGCATTTTTCTTCTTTTGAGGCAGTGTCTTACTGTGTAGCCCCAGCTGACCTGGAACTTGCTATATAGATGAAGCTGGCCTCGAAATCACAGAGGTCCACCTGCCTCTGCCTCCAGAGTGTTGTTGGGATTACACGTGTATACCACTATGTCTAGCTTAAAGAATTGTTTTAAAGTAAATTTCTTAGGTGTGGTGGCTCATGCCTGTAATCTCAGCCCTCTGAAAGCTGCGGCAGGAGGATTACCACTGGTTGAAGAGCAACCAGGACTACATAGTGAAACCCTGTCTCAAAAGATCTAAAATTTATAAGATTTAATGTCAGTAAATATTTGACTTGCATAGCTTTTTTTTTTAGGTTTTAATTTTATGTGTTTTTCTGTGTATGATGTGTGTGAATGTGGGCATCTATGTGCCATGGCGCATGTATGCAGGTCAGAGGACAATTTGTGAGAGTCAGTTCTCTTCCTTCCACTATGGGTCCTGGGGATGGAACTCAGGTTGCCAGTTTTAGTGGCAAACACTTTCAACTGCTGAGCCATCTTTCTGGCCCTGATTTTCTACACCCATTTTCTATACCTATATACCCAGGGTCTTATGAAAATATCTTGGGTGAGCTGTACATGATGTGCAGCTGAGATCCCAGCAGTTGGGGGGTAGAAGCAGGAGGAGCAGGAGTTCAAGGCCATCCTCAGTCACATAGCAAGTTTGAGGCCAGCCTGGGCTACATGAGATCCTATCTCAAAAAATAAAACACAACAATCTTGAATAAAAAGGGGTCACAAGTGAAAGAAGTTTATGGTGCCCTACCCTAGATCAGATGGAAGAGTTGAACCAAGGCTTAGCAGTGGGTCCTGATGAAGATGATTCTGACCTAGCGAATTGGTGGGCTGGGTGTGGGAGGAAAGGGCAGTTTGCCATTGAGTCTATCTGGCCTCCTTCCCATCCTGTGCATGTGCTATGCTGACCTCTTTGCACATACCTCTGAAAGACATCTATTTTCCATCTAGCTTACCTTTTACATCAATGACTCAGGAAAGAGCTGGCCTAGAATTCCCCAGTGAGGAGCTGGGGTGTGGCTCAGTGGTAGAGCACCTGCCTAGAGTCCCCCAGTGTGAGGCTGGGCTGTGGCTCAGTGATAGAGCTCTTGCCTGGAATCCTCCATTGATATAAATAGGCTTGGAGAATTGAATTAAGTCGTCATCCTTACACAGCAAGCACTTTACCCACTGAGCCCCAAATGGACTTTGTTTTGTTTGAGAAAGGGTCTCAAGAAATAGCCTAGGCTTACCTCAACCTCCCTATATAGCTAAGGATGACCTTGAACTCTTGATCTCCTGCTGCCTCCTCCTGAGTGCTGGAGCATAGGCACATACCTCCATGCTTCATTTATTCAGTGCTGGGGAATGCCTGACTTTGTGTATACTAGGCAAGCAGTTTACTAGCTGAGCTACAGCCCCAGTCCAAACTGTGTTTTGTTTTATTTATTTGTTTTATTTTTTGTCTTTTTGAGACAGGGTCTCCCTGTAGTCCCAGCTGGCCTGGAGCTCACTAATGTAGACAGGCTGGGCTTGAACTTACAGAGATCTGCCTGCCTGCCTCTGCCTCGGAGTGCTAGGATTAAAAGCATGCACCACCACACCTGGCCACTAGGTTGCATGTCAAAAGTTTTCTATACTAATGAAGTCCAGGGATGGTTCCCTCAGTGTTCCTGTAGTGCCCAGAGTCTGTTGAGGGATACACAGACTACAGTGATAGTATGGCAATGTTGTAGGAGCCAATTCCGAGTCTTCTGGTCCCCTGAAGATCTTAGAGCCGGATGACTTTAACATAGTAATATGAAATGGGCACTGAAACTCTCTTGTAATTTTCCTACTTGTAGGTGATTTCTCTGTTCCAGTCAACATGTCTACTTTAGATGTTCCCCAAGAGAGGCTGAGAAAATTTAAGTACCGAGGCAAAGATGCATCTGTGAGTATGAATCTAGGACCAGTAACAAGGCATGTGGTTGACATGTCTCTGAAATGGGGTATAGGATTGGAGAGATAGCTCAGAGGACCCAGTTTGCATCCCAGTACCCAAGTCCAGCAGCTCACAGCTGCCTGAAACTCCAGCTCCAGGGGATCAGATGCCCTCTTCTGGACTCCCAGGGCACCTTTGCTCACATGTGTGCATACCTACACCTATACACACATATACACACATAATTGAAAATAAAAGAAATCTTTAAAAATGGGGTATAATCTAGGCCATGGTGCTATAAATCTGTAATTTCAGCACTTGGGGCCAAATCAGGAGGATTTTAAGTTGGAGGCCAGCCTGGGCTAGAGAGTAGCTGTGGAAACTAAACGAAACAAAATAAACCAGGGATGGTGAGAAGGCTCAATGGATAAGGGCACTTGCTTTGCAAGCTTCACAGCCTGAGCTAGCAAGCTCTCATCCACATGATGGAAGATGATGACTCCTAAAGTCATCCTCTGACTTCACACACACCCACACACACTCACCATGGAACACAGTGTCCATACTTACACACATACACATCATATACACACATGCAATAATAAAATTAAATTTTTAAAAACTACCCCCAAATAGGTAGCATGCTGGCTCCCCAGCAACCTGGCCATAACAACTGCAATTGTTTCTATTCCTTGCTAGGTGAGGCGACAGCAGAGAGTGGCCATGAGCCTGGAGCTCCGGAAGGCCAAGAAAGATGAGCAGGCCTTAAAGAGAAGGAATATCAACCACTCCTCTGCTGTCTTGGTTCCTGAAGCCCCAGTGAAAGAGGTGTGTTTAAACAGTGTGCAGGGCAGTGTGTGGGGTATGTCCTCAGCTAGCTTCCCTGGCATGAAGAATGCTTAACAGAGACAGAGCTTATTGCATTAGTCTGCTTAAAGAAAGCAGAACTGGAGTGTGGCTCAGCAGTGCCGTGCTGGTCTAGAATCCCCCAGTGAGGGTCTGGGGATGTGACTTAGCAGAGCCAGTGCTGGCCTAGAATTCCTCAGTGAGGGTTTGGGGGTGGGTTCTGTTGGAGCACCTGCCTAAAATCCCCTAGTGAGGGGCTGGAGTGTGACTCAGTGGTAGAGCACCTGCCTAGAATCCCCCAGTGAGGGGCTAGGGTGTGGCTCAGTGGTAGAGCTCCTGCCTAGAATCCCCCAGTGATGTGAGTTTTGGAGATCTGAATCAAGTTCTTGTAGTTACTTGATCAGCAAGAACTTTACCTTGAGCCACATCACATCCCCAGCCTTCAATTTTCTCTCTTGTCATTTTTGGGGGTATATTTCTAAGAACTTAACCTATTTTACATACAGATTTTAACTTGTTGGCATATAGATAGTTTTCTTCTATCTAATTTCTATAAGTTTAGAAGAACCTTCCTTCCTGATTTTAATAATTCTACGAACCATCCTTAACTCCAGTTCCAGGGGAATCCAACGCTCTCTTCTGACCTCCGTGGCATTGCACAACACAGGTGCGCCCGCATACATTCAGGCAATATACTCATACACATCAAATAAAAATAATAATAAATAAAATACTTAGAAAAAAATAATTCGAGAGTCTCTCCTCTTCATAAGTCTAAAATAACAAGCAGCTAAAACTTTATTTCTTTTAATATTTATTTTTATATGTATGAGTGTATTGCCTGCATGTATGTAAGTGGGCCCATGTTGTGCAATGCCTGAGGAGGTCAGAAGGGAATGTTGGATCCCCTGGAACTGGAGTTATGGATGATTGTTAGCTACCATGTGGGTGCTGGGAATCAAACCCAGGTCCTCTGCAAGAGCAGTCAGTGTTCCCAACCACTGAACTCTCTCTCCAGCCCCAAACTTACTGTTTTTTGATGGCCTTTTTCAAGAACGAACTTTTGCTTTCATTAATTTCCCTGTTTTCCTGTCCTCTGATCCTAGATATTATGGTGTTCCTTCTTCTTGCTTTGGGCTTATTGATTTTTCTTCTATAGAGGGGGGAAATTTTGGAAACCCTTACTCTTTCCCTGATATATACTACTCATTCCTTCCTGAGTTCCCTTCTCCTTCTTTCTTCTTCCCTCTCTCCTTCCTCCCCCCCATCTTTTTCTCCTTTCCCTCGCTCTATCTTTCCTCGTCCCCCCTCTCTTTTCTTTCTTTCTCATCTCTTTCCTTCCTTCCTTTCCATCTCCCTTTGCCCCCTTTCTATCTTCTCAAGCCTTGTGCACAGTGGCTTATGCACTCTACCATCATACTGTATCTCCAGCCCTTTATTAGATCTTTCCTTCCTTCCTTTCCATCTCCCTTTGCCCCCTTTCTATCTTCTCAAGTCTTGTGCACAGTGGCTTATGCACTCTACCATCATGCTGTATCTCCAGCCCATTATTAGCCTCTTATGGGATTAAATCATGCTGAGTGGGCTGGAGAGATGATTTGGATTAAGAGCACTGACTGCTTTTGCAGAAGACCTGAGAGCTCCATCTCTAACTCCAGTTCCAGGGGATCTGACACCCTCTTCTGGTCTCTGCAGGTATCACATGCATGAGGTGCACTTACATACCTGCAGGCAAAACACTCATACACAAAAATTAAAAATAAATTAAAAAGATGTTTTTAAAAGTGGTGCTGAGGGGATGGAGAGATGGCTCTGCAGTTAAAAGCACTGCCTATTCTTGTGGAGGAACTGGGTTTGATTCCCAGCACCCACACGGCAGCTAACAACTATCTATAACTCTGGTTCCAGGGGAATTTGATGCCCTCTTCTGACCTCTGTGGGCATTGCACAACATGGGTGCACTTACATACATGCAGGCACTATATTCATATACATAAAATAAAAATAATAAATATTTTTAAGAATGGTGCTGAGGATGCAAGATCAGCCTGCCCTAAGCACGTGGAGTGTCCCACTGTGATCTAGGAACTATGGGCCACAATTGTTTCTCCCTGCTTTAACATAGGCAAGCATGCACCAGGACATCCATGCAAAGCAGCCTATGTTAATCAGATGGATGTCTAGGCTACGTGATTTTTATGACTTCCTGATTTTTATTTTAAATTATGATTTTGGATTTTTGAGATAGGATCTCCCTGTAGCCCTGGCTGGCCTGGAACTCACTATGTAGCCCAGGCTAGCTTTAATCTCAGCAATCTGCCCACCTCTGCCTCCCAAGTGCTGTGATTAAAGGTGTGCACTACCACACCTGGCTTAGTTTTGATTTAAAGAATTTTATTACATTTATTTAGTGTGTGTGTGTGTATGTGTGTGTATGTGTGTGTATATATGCATGTGCATGCACAGGAGTCAAAAGAAAACTTGTAGGCATCAGTTCCAGGAATTGAACCCAGTTCTTCAGGGTTGGCAGCAAGCATCTTGACCCCCTGAGCCACTTTGGCCCTGTGCTTTCTATTGACCTGAATATCTCTCTTTGCAGGTCAACCTCACTCTGGAGGAAATAATCAAAAGTGCAAACAGCTCAGATCCAGCCTTGTGTTTCCTGGCCACTCAGGCTGCCAGGTATTGCCACGCAGACTTCTGCTCTTTGCAGTCAGAAATGAGCTTCAGTGACCCGGCTTGGTTTCCTGTCACTGGCAAAATGCCCATGCAATGCAGGAAATGGCTAGTTTATCCCAAAGCAAGAGGTGCTTGCTCTGTCTGGTTGTCCTTGAGGGCAACTTAAAAGATGCAGTGTGCTGTCAGAGATGAATGGCTTAATTTACATTGGCCTCTGCAGGGATTTCAGCTCATAGATAACACCTGAAGGGTAAAGTGTTACTTTAGCATTGCTGTGATGTATTGTGGAATAAACAATAGCACCAGACTAACTTGGTTGGCTTATCTGATAGTTAGGGGTTGGGGCCATGGCTCAGTGGTAGAGCACCTGCCTAGAATCCCCCAGTGAGGGGCTGGGGTGTGGCTCAGTGGTAGAGCACCTGTCTAGAATCCCCAGTGAGGGGCTGGGGTGTGGCTCAGTGGTAGAGCACCGGCCTAGAATCCCCCAGTGAGGGCTGGGGTGTGGCTCAGTGGTAGAGCACCGGCCTAGAATCCCCTGGTGAGGGGTGGGGTGTGGCTCAGTGGTAAAGCACCTGCTTAGAATCCCCCGGTGAGGGGTGGGGTGTGGCTCAGTGGTAGAGCACCTGCCTAGAATCCCCAGTGAGGGGCTGGGGTGTGGCTCAGTGGTAGAGCTCCTGCCTAGAATCCCCGAGTGAGGGGTGGGGTGTGGCTCAGTGGTAAAGCACCTGCCTAGAATCCCCCAGTGAGGGGTGGGGTGTGGCTCAGTGGTAGAGTCTTGTGTAGATTTACCTAGTGAGGAGCTGGGGTGTAGCTTATGTGAGCGGGTCTGCCTAGCATACCACGAAGACCTGGGTTGGTTCTCCAATACTGAAAAAGAAATCTGATAATTAGGAATGCCAAGAACTTTTAAAAAGTGGATTCTCCACACATCCCCGTGACTCTTCCCCACTCCCTCTGTCTCACTGCACAGGAAGATGCTGTCACAGGAAAGGAACCCTCCTCTGAAAGTTTTTATTGAAGCTGGCCTCATTCCCAGGCTGGTGGAGTTCCTGAAGCTGTCACCACACCCCCACTTGCAGTTTGAGGCAGCCTGGGCTCTGACCAACATTGCCTCAGGAACTTCAGAGCACACCCAAGCTGTTGTGAAAGCAGGTGCCATCCGGCCTCTGATTAAGCTCCTGTCTTCCCCGCATGTCACCGTGTGTGAGCAGGCAGCGTGGGCCCTTGGTAATATAGCTGGTAAGATATTGATCAGGGTGCAGGCATGCAGCATGCTAGGGGAGTTTTTGGACAGTGTGGTACACTTAATATCCTGGCACACCCTCCTGGTGTAAATAACCTGCAAGTTCTGGAAAAGGTATAATGAGCTAGTTCAAAATCTAAAGCCAAATTCAGAGGCCAAAAATGGAAGCTGAAACTGGACAGTGCAATGCATAGTGCAGCTGTGTAGAGCTGGCTGCTGACCCAAGGTTCTGCAGCCTTGGGCCTTAATGTCTTCTGGACACAGATAAGTCTTAGAGCTACGTGGAGTTGGTGCACACCTGTAATCCTCACACTTGGTAGGTGGAGACAGAAGGGTCAGGAGTTCAAGGTCATAATTGGAGGCCAGCCTGGAGTACATGAGACTGTGTCTCAAAAAAAGGGGGGGGGGCTTGTGAGATGACTCGGTATCATGCTTGCTGTGTAAGTTTGAGGACCCAAGTTCAATCCCTAGAACCCATGTAAAAATGTCGGCATAGTGGTGCCTGCTTGGAATCCCAGGTCTGGGGTGGTAGAGACAGATGGGGCTATGGGGTTTGCTGGCCAGTTAGTTCAGCTGAATCAGTGAGCCCCTATCTCAAAAATAAGGCAAAGATGGGGCAGTTAAGAGCATTTGCTGCTCTTTCAACCAGAACTGAGTTCCCAGCACCCATGTCAGGCAACTTATAACCACTTATAACACCAGTTCTGGGGGATCTGACACCTCCTTCTGGTCTCTGACAGCACCTGCACATATATGGTATATACGCACACAGACACGTAAACATAACTAAAAAAGTAAATCTTAAAATAATAAGCTGGGCGTGGTGGTACACGCCTGTAGTCCCAGCACTTGGGAGGCAGAGGCAGGCAGATCTCTGAGAGTTCAAGGCCAGCTTGGTCTACATAGTGAGTTCCAGGACAGCTGGGGCTACAGGGAGACCCTGCTTCAAAAAGACAAAAAAAAATACGGGTGAGTCATGGTGATGCACACCTTTAATCCCAGCACTTAGGAGGCGGAGGCAGGTGGATCTCTGTGAGACTGAGGTCATCCTGGTCTGCAGAGCAAGTTCCAGGCCAGCTGTAGCTGCCGGAAGACCCTGTCTCCAAACTAAAAACAACAAAAAAAATCACATGATGTGTCATTGAGGAAGATACCCAGCATCAATCTGGCCTCCATAGGCACATGTACACACACACAGGTACACATATACACAAAACCAAAACTAGGCATGATTATGCATGCTTATATTCCCAACACTTAGAAGGTAGAGGCAAGAGCAGCATCTCGAGTTTGAAGCCAACCTGGTCTATCTAGTGAATTCTGGGCCAGCCAGGATTATATAGCAAGCCCATGTCTCAAAAAACAAACAAAACCCAATCCAAAATTGGCTGGAGAAATAGCAAGCATGAAGCCCTGGGTCCAGCCCCAGCACCACTATAAGGCAGGCATGTTGGTACCTGTCTATAATCTCAGCACCCGGGAGGTAGGGGCAGAAGGATCAGAAAGTCAATTATCCTTGGCTATGTAGCAAGTTTGAGAGCAGCCTGGGTTTCATGAGAACGTGTCTCAAAAGACAAAACAAAAAGTCTTTGGGACTTGGCAGTGTCATCTTACACTAGGTTCTTACATAATCCAGGATCCTAGAGGTATTCTACTGTCTGTGAGAGTTACTAAGGTGATAGAAATAATAAAAGTTTCCTTAGCTTGGGTGAGAAGAGTCTTTGTGAAAATGTAATTCTGAGATGTGCTGTGCGGATCAGGGGCTGGGTACTTTATTCCCTGTGTGGTCTAGGGAAACAAAGGGCAGGAGTTAGTGCTAAAGTGTTACAAGGCCTCAGATATTTGGCTGAAGTAAATAAAAAAAAAAAACCAAAACAAAACAAAAAACCCAAAACCTCAGCTAGGCCCCACAGGAATCTGACAAATTAAAACCAGGCAAATATTAGCAAGTTCAAGTTCAGAGAAGCCTCAACCTGCCAAGCCTGAGTCAGCACAAAGCCAAATGTGATTAGCTCTCCAAGGACTTTGGAGCCTGGAATTAGCCAAGAGAATATAAAACAAGTGCTTTAGAGATGCTTGCCGATGATTGCTGAAGGAGTGCATTGATTTCAGGATGTTGTTGCTGGTTCCCCTTCATTCAGTAAGATACAGACAGGACCAAACAGTATTCAAGACTTGGGCTTTGCCTGGGTGACTAAAAACAGAAAGCAAGACTTCAAGGATGGAAAGTTCATATACTAGGGTAGGGATGCAGCCTAGGTGACAGAGGGTTTGTTTAGCTGCAGGAGGCACTGGGTTTGAGCCCCAGTACTGTATAAACCTGAGCATGGTGGCACATACCCGTAATCCCAGCACTCAGGAGCTGGTGACAGGAGGATAAGGAGTTCAAGTTCATCTTGGCTCTGTATTAAGGCCGGCAAGATGGCTCAGTGGGTAAAGGAACTGGCCACCAAGCCTGATGGCCCGAGTTCAATCCCTGGGACCCCCATGTAAAAGGAGAGAACTGACTCTTGCAAATTGACCTCTGACTTCCACATACATGCTGTGGCACGTGTCTACACATGCATACACATGCACACAAATAATGTAAAGAAAATTGATATAAGGGCTGGGCCATGCTGAGGCAGGGCAATCATGAGTTTGAGATCATCCCAGGCTGCATAGTGAGTTTGAGACCAGTCTCATCTATATAATCAGGTTCAACTTTTAAAAAAGATGTGGTTGGGGCTGGAGAGATGGCTCAGTGGTTAAGAGTACTGACTGCTCCTGCAGAGGACCTGGGTTCAGTTTCCAGCACCCATGGTGGTAAACATCCATCCTTAATTCCAGTTCCAGGGAATCTGACACCCTTTTCTGGCCTTTGCAGGCATTGCACACACAGTGCACTTACATACATACAGGCAAAACACTCATACACACAAAATAAAAATAAATTAAAAATTGAAAGATAACTGGGCAAGGTAGTTCATGATTTTAACACCAACATTCAGGAGGCAAAGGTGAATTGATATCTGAGTCCCAGGCCGGTCAGAAGAGGGCTTCGGATTCTCCTGGAACTGGAGTTAAGGACAGTTTGTAGCTGCCATGTGGGTGCTGGGAATCGAACCCGGATCCTCTGCAAGAGCAGCCAGTGCCTTGACTGCTGAGCCATCTCTCCAGCTCCCCCCTTAAGGATTTTTTTAAAGTGTGTGTGGGGGAGGGCATATGCATGTGAGTGCAGGTGTCTGAAAAGCCAGAAGACAGCATCAGATCCTCTGGAGCTGGAGTTGTAAGTCGCCCAACATGGGTATGGGGAACTGAATTCAGATCCTCTGCAACAACTCTTAACCACTGAGCCGCATTATGCATAAGCTTTTAAAATTAGGCACCCAATCCAGGATTCTCCTTATCTTTTTTGGTGGGAGAGGGAATTGACACAGGCCTGACTATGTAGCTCAGACTTCCCTTGAACTCTGGTTTTGTTTTTTGAGATAGGGTCTCCCTGTAGTCCCAGCTGACCTGGAACTCACTATGTAGACCAGGCTGGCCGCAATCTCACAGAGATCCATCTGCCTCTGCCTCCTGAGTGCTGGGACTAAAGGTGTGTGTCATCATGCCTGGCTGGTCTTGAACTCCTGATCCTCCTTTCTTGGCCTACTGAGAATGGGGATTACATCCTGCGTGTATCGCCATGCCAGATCTTTCTCTGTCTGCATGTCATTTTCTGTTCTGTTTGTAGGTGATGGCCCAGAATTCAGAGACATCATCATCTCCAACAAAGCTATCCCCCATCTGCTGACCTTTATATCCTCAAATATATCAGTGAGTATAAGTATTTATTCACTTATATTTTACATGTATGAGTGTTTTGCCTGCCTGTAAGTGCACCCATGCATGCAATGCCCATGAAGGTCAGAAGAGGGCGTAGAATCCCCTGGAATTGGAGTTACAGGCAGTTGTTAGCCACCAAGTGGATGCTGGGAACTGAAGCCAGGTTCTCTGCAAGAGCAGCCAGTGTTCTTAACCACTGAGCCATTTCTCCAGTCTCTCTCTTTTAATGTATTACATTTTACTTATTTATTCTGTGTGTTCATGTGTATATGCCTGTGGTACTTACTTGTGCATGTGTGGAGTCAGAGGACAACTTGCAGGCATCAGTTTTCTCCTTCCACTATGTGGGTTGAAGTCAAGTTTTCATACTTAGCAGTAAGTGCCTTTACCTGCTGAATCATCTTGTTGGCCTGTGTGTGTGTGTGTGTGTGTGTGTGTGTGTGTGTGTGTGTGCGCGCGCGCGCGCAAGCACGTGCACCGCACCATATGAGTGCAGTGCCTGTGGAGGCCAGAAAAGGGCATTGTATCCCCTGGAGCTGGAGTTACAGGTGGTTGTGAGTTGCCTAATATGGGTGCTGGGAACCAAACCCAGATCCTCTGGAAGAGTAGCAAGTGCTCTTAACCACTCAGTCACCTCTCCAACTCCTATTTTATTTTTTTGAGATGGGATTTCAAATGGTCCAGGCAGAACTCACTGTGTAGTCAAAGTTGACCTTGAATTTCTGACCCTCCTACCTCCATGTCCCCAGGGCTAGGATCACAAGGAGGCACCCCTATCCAGGTTTATGTGGTGCTGGGGACGGAATCCAGGGCTTCACGCATGCTAGGCAAGCACCCTACGGCTGATCCACATATCCAGCCCAAGAGACACATTTGAGTGCTCACAATAGAACCACATGAGACAAGAGCCTGAAAAGTGTCACTAGATGACCATTTACAGAAAACATTACCAACCCCTGACCTAGAGTGGGGATAGGGCCGTGGGACCAAGTCCTGGAGTCTCCAAATCCAGAAGTCAGGTAGAAAGCTCTTCACGGTTGCACATACCTGTAATCCCAGTACTCAGGAGGCTGAGGAAGGAGGACTAAGAGTTCAAGGCTAGCTTGGGCTATAGAGGGAATTTGTGGTCAGCCTGGAACTACATATGGAGACTGTCTTATTTAAAAAATAAAAACCGGAGCTGAAGAGATGGCTCAGTGGTTAAGAACACTGGTTGCTCTTGCAGAGAACCTGTGTTCAGTTCCTAGTGCTCACATGGGGGCTAACAACCATCTGTGACTCCAGTTCCAGGGGATCCAACACCCTCTTCTGGCTTCTGTGAGCATTGCACACATATCATACACTTAGATACATGCTGGCAAAGCATTCATAAACATAAAACAAAAATAAGTTTTTAAAAGATTTTTAAAAATAACCAAAAACAAAGGCTCCTACTGTGGATAATAAAAGTGGGGTAGTGGCTGAAAAGTTGTGAAGGAAAGATTAGATGGTGGGAGTCAGACTCTTCCCACACTGGCCAAAGTGATCCTAGGGACCAAATTTTTTGACAGTTATATTTATTTGTTTATCATGTGTCTATGTATGCGTATGTGGATGTGTGCTACAGTGAGAATGTGAAAGCCAGAGCACAACTCACAGGTGTCAGTTCTCTCCTTCCACCATGAGGATCCTGGGGATTGAATTCAAATTCAGGTTGTCAGGCTTGGTGGCAAGCATCTTTACCTGCCGAGTCTGCTCACAGGCCAAGGGGGCTGAATTTTGGAGAGAAAATGAGACCCAGAGAAAGGGCAAGAGTGATCTTTGAATAGAAGATCAGAAATCTGTCTGGGCTTATGGTGATTCATGCCTGTAATCCCAGCACTGGGGAGGTGGAGGCAGAATGATCATCAAGAATCTGAAGTCAAGGCTGACAAAATGGCTCAGAAGGTCAAGTCTGTTGACTTGAGCTCAATCCCCAGGATCCACATGGTGGAAGGAGCGAACTGACTCCTACAGCACACCGTGGTGTGTGCAAGCACTGCACAGACAAGGACATGTGCATACTGCGTGCACACGCATATACACACACATGTGCGTGCACACACACATGTGCGCGTGCACAGACAAGGATATATGCATACTGTGCGTGCATTTGTGCACACACACAAGTGCGCACACAAATCACATAAAAATGTTTGAAGTCAGCTTGAGCTGCATAGTGAAACCTTGTCTCAAAGAAGAAACAGGGCCATGTGTGGTGGTGCAGGTCTTTAGCCCCAGCATTCAGGAGGCAGAAGCAGGCAGATCTCTGGGTTCAAGGCCAGCCTGGTCTGCATAGCGAGTTTTATGGCAGCTGGGGCTACATAGTGAGACCCTCCCTGTCTTTAAAAAAAAAAAAAAGGAGAAAGAAAAGAACAAGAATGCTGGGAGCAGGTGGAAGGCGACTGGTCAGGCCCAGTAGAGGACCTGAGTTCAAATCCTTGCAGTCCCAGATACTTGGGAGGTTGAGGCAGGAGGATCTCAAGTTCAATGCCTGCCTAAATAACTTAGTGACACCCTATCTCCAAATAAAATGTAAAACAAATGAGGATTGGTGCTTAGTGGTAGCATGCTTGCCTTGTATACACAAAGGCCCAGGTTCAGTCTCAGTGCAACACCAAATAAATAAATACAAATTAAAAATTCTGACTAAGACAGGCTGGTAGTTATAGACTGACAAGACAAACCAAGTAATTCCTCTGTTTTGTTTTGTTTAGAGAAAAACTCTCATGTAGCCAGGTTGGCTTGAACTCATTATGTATCCCAGACTGGCCTCAAACTAGGAATCCCCCTGCCTCTGCTGTGGCTGGGTTCACAGGTGTGTGCCTCCATGCAACTGCTTGATCTCTTTTGTCAACAAAAACATGAAATCAGGGGCTGGGGAGATGGCTCAGTGGTTAAAGTGCTTGTTATGAAAGTGTGAGAACCCAGGCAAGTTCAGATTCCCAGAAGTCATGCAAAGCCAGGTGCAGTAGTGCATGCCTGTAATCCCAGTACTCCTAAGGGGAGAGAGGAGGCAGAGATGGGAGAGCTCCTGGAAGTTCACTAGCCAGCAAGACCAGTGTACCCAACAGTGCACCACAAAGAGGCCCTATCTAAAGTGGAAGGTGAGCACCGATACCCGAGGTTGTCCTTTGATCTCCACATGTGTGTGGTGGCACAGGCAAGCCTGTATGCACACACACATACATACATCATAACACTTTTAAAAATTTACATCTCCTGGGCCCTGTCCTTCCTCACCAAAGGCTGCAATGCGTAAACACAGGGGTCCAACCCAGGCCACTAGAACTAATGACCAGCTCAGGACTCAAACTTTGGTAAATATCCCAGATGGTACCCATGTTGCAAGGACCTTCATGTTAGAGCCCGAGGGTCTGTGGATGTAGCTCAGTTACTAGAGGGCTTGCCTAGCATGTGTGGAGCTCTGGTGGTAGTGGGGGGGGGGTTAGGTTGGCTAGATGGTTCAGCAGTTAAGAGTGCTTGCTGCTTTTACAGAGGCCCAGAGTTCTGTTCTCAGCACCCACATGGTGGCTAACAGCTTCCTGTAACTCCAACTCCAGGGGGTTCAGATGCTCTCTTCTGGCCTCTGCAGGTATTGCACACATGTGGTGCCTTTACAAACATGCAAGCAAAACATGTATACACATAAATAAAAATAAATAAAAAATAAAATCTTTTTATAAAATAAGTCATCCACTGAGTAGGGAAAGAACTTGTGAAGAACACAAATCTCCCAGGAGCATTTAAATATGAAATATAGAGCTCCTCATTTCTGTTCCTGATGTATATTGTTGCCTGAGAAGAGTTCTTTGAAGCTCAAAAACTCTGGTCCATGCTGGTCAATAGCATTGCTCAGGGATGGGAAGGGCACGTCATGTTCACATGTTGTCTCTTCTGCACCTCATCACAGATCACGTTTCTGCGGATCATCACATGGACCCTGTCTAATCTGTGCCGGAACAAGAACCCGTACCCTTGCAAGGAGGCGGTGAGGCAGATGCTGCCTGCCCTCATCCATCTCCTGAGTCATCATGACAGTGAGATCCTCTCCGACACCTGCTGGGCCCTGTCTTACCTCACCGAGGGCTGTGACAAGCACACCAGCCAAGTGGTGGACACCGGGGTCTTGCCCAGGCTGGTAGAACTCATGACCAGCTCAGAACTCAATATCCTGGTAAATATTCCAGATCTTACCCCTGTTGTAAGAACTTTCACGTTAGAGACTGTGGGTCTGGGAATATACCTCAGTTACTAGAGCGCTTGCCTAGCATGCATGAAGCCCTGGGTTCCATCCCCAGCACTGCATAAACTGGACATGGTGGTGCACACCTGTAATCTCAGCACTTGGGAGTCAGAGGCAGGAGGATTAGAAATTCTCTAGCTACATAGTTCAAGGCCAACCTGGGCTACATGAGGCATGTCTCAAAAAACAAAACAGAGCAGATTAGAGTCTATGAGTCAGATCAGCCTTACCAGACTCTTCTCTGGGTCACTCTAGGTCTTCCCCTTCTGTTGTAATTCTTACGTGGAACCCACCTTGCCATCTGTTCTTTGCCACTTTCTTTTATTTATTTATTTTACTTTATTATTTTTATTTTATGTGTATGAGTGTTATGCCTGCATATAGGTAAGTGCTCCTGTGTCGTGCAATGCCTGCAGAGGACAGAAGAGGCTGTTGGATCCCCTCGAACTGGAGTTACGGACAGTTGTTAGCTGTCATGTGGGTGCTGGGATTCAAAACCAGGTCTTCTGCAAGAACAACCAGTGTTCTTAACCGCTGAGCCATCTCTCCAGTCCCTCTTTTCCACTTTCTAGCCAAACATTTGAATCTGCTTTGATCTTAGATCCTAGGGGGTGTTAAAGAACTTACTTTTCTCTCCATCTGCGAACTAGAAACATATGGAGAAGAAGTGAGTAGGATTTGCATATAATCCTTCCACCCAAGGATGTATTATAACCATCTCTCCCAGGGATTTGTGGATTTTGACTTAAACAAGTTGGCTTATACTGGTGTGTGTGCGTGTGTGCGCGCGTGCGTGTGTATACATGGTTTGTGTATATGTATAGAGCGCATCGTAATGTTTGAATTAATTTTGCAGTTTTGTTGTGGGTTCTTAATTTTTAAAAAAGTTTTGTTTGTATTTTATATGTATGATTTTGTTTTCTTCCCGCATGTACATAAGTGCACCAGTGCCCATGGAGGCCAGGTGAGGGCGTCAGATCCCCTGGAACTGGAGTTGCAGATTGTTAGCTGTCATGTGGGTGCTGAGAACCGAACCTTGGTCCTCTGCAATAGCAGCCAGTGCTCTTAACTGCTGAGCCATCTCTCCAGTCCTAAGAAAGTAACTTTTTCTTTTGCTTTTGTTTTGTTTGTTTTGTTTTGTTTTTTTGAAACAGGGTTTCCCTATAAACCCAGCTGGCCTAGAACTTGCTATGTAGACCAGGCTGGCCTCCATCTTATAGAGCGCCACCTGCCCCTGCCTCTCAAGTGCTGGGATTAAAGTAACTTTTAAAAGAAGTTCTGAGGCCCAATTGGTGTTATCTGTGCCTTGAGGACTCTGTAGAGATGCTCCCTCCTTTCCCTTGAGTGGCAGGTGATTAGCTGGATGAGGTGTGAAAACTCTAGAACACTTGGTAGCCTTCACTGGGGACAAAGACAGACAAATCTACAGTCAGACGTCCTAGGATGCTTACTGCCTTCAGCTGCACCCTAGAGCCATTCCAGGGACCTTCAGAGCGACTGTGAGGGGCTCATGGATCCATTGAGAAACGCCATTGGGATCTTATTAGCTCCAGTTAAATACACAACAGAAGCACAGAGCCAGTGTGAGCACAAGTCCATAACAGGGGTCACAGGCAGCCTGCATTTCCCCCAGGTAGGGTTGCTGTGAACCTGGGTGTGGCGGCACACGTCTGAAACCCTAGCACCTGGAGTCCGAGGAAGGAGGGTGCAGCGCTCAAGGCCAGGGCTGGGGGTGTGGCTTAGTTGGTAGAGTGCTTCCCTAGCATGCACGAAGCCCGGGTTCCTTCCCCAGCATCTCATAAACCAGGCATGGTGATGCACACCTATAACCCCAGCACTCAGGAGGTGGAGGCAGGAGGATAGAAAGTTCAGGGTCATCCGCGGCTATTTATTGAGTTTGAAGCCAGTGTGGGATGAGAACTCGTCTCCAAAGATGAAACAGAAAAAACAACAACAACAAAAAAACCCTACAGAATTTAAGACCAGCTTGGGTTACACAGGGAGATCCTGTCTCAAAGAAAAAACAGTGACAAAAGGGGCTGGAGTGATAGCTCAGCAGTTAAGTGCTCGTAGTGTTTTTGCGAAGGACCTGAGTTTAACTCCCAGCATCCACATCAGGAGACTCTCAACCACTTGTAACTCCAGCTCCAGGGACTCCCCACAGCCTCTTCTGAACTCTGAGGGCACCTGCACTCACATGCACATCCACAAACATATGCACAAGGGGACCTGGGGCATGCCAGCTCCAGGGAGTCCGCATGAGTATGCTGGACTGTGTGGGAACTTAATCACTCAGGACAAATGTTTTCCTCACCTTAGATGCTTTTATGTTGATCTCAAAATTCTGAACTCAGGACTTGGAACATAGGAAAGAAAATAAGTTGGGAGCCAAGATGGTGGTGGTACAGCCAGGGGTCTGGTGCGACAGTGATGGCAGCGACTCTGTGCAATGAGGCAAGAGGGTGAGGAGCTGTTGGTGCTCCTCAGACCCAACCGTAAGCTCCCCAAGGGCCTGTCCTGGGGCGCAATGAAGGTGAGGAGTTTTAAGTAGGAAATGACTTTCATGTTTCAGTCAGAGTAAAACATGACTCCAGTAAGATGTCTTATCGTTTGTCCCCGACCAAGAAGGAAGATGTGAGAACAGCAGACACCAAAAAGCCAACCAGATCCTCGACCACGAAAAAGAAAACACTCAAGCTGGGGTGGTGGCGCACGCCTTTAGTCCCAGCACTCGGGAGGCAGAGGCAGGAGGATCTCTGTGAGTTCAAGGCCAGCCTGGTCTATATAATGAGTTTCAGGCCAGCTGGAGCTACAGGAAGACCCTGCCTCAAAAAGACAAAAAAAAAAAGGAAAAGAAACACTCAGTCCATCTGTCTCCTTGAGCGAAAGCAAAAAGTGGTTTTCTCCAATACTGATGCTCCTCTAGCAAGAGATTCAAGGCAGAAAGTAACTGTTGGCTCCGTTTGCTGCATAGAAGCCAAAATACTTTCTTAAATACAAGTATTATCATGTGGACGGAGCGATGGAGACAGGAAAATAGTAGGAACTAGTGTAATTGAAATTATGACCCCTCCCATGAGTCAGGAACTCCGGTTGTTCCCATGAGCCTGAAGCTGTGATCCCTTCCCGTAAGCCTGGGAGAACCGTGAGCTATGGTTCCACACTCCTCTGGTGGTGGGCTGATGGTGGTTCAAATTGGAGGATGGAGGGCTTCCCGATGTTGGGGAGCAGTTTCAGCCTTCTCCGAGTGGCTGCATGCCCCACAGCCTCCTCCCCTGAGGTCCCAGGTTGTGCACAGCAGTGGCTTTGCCTCTGTGTTGTGTTTATGCTAGGGACAGGGGAGTCCTCTTGGGACGACTGATTCGAACGGACTTTCTACTTCCCTTGATGGCCAGTTAAGGTTTTGACTCCACACATGGTCCTGGGCACTCAGGCCTTGACGTTGGACCTTTCTCATTCCTGGGCACCAAGAGGTTTTCCATCATTTTCTGTCATGACCTTCGTTACCACAAACAATGGCATAGAGTATGTTTTTATTGCCTAGAACTATTTTAAATATTTTTTAGATATGTTCATTAATAAAATTCCAAATATTGTTTGTTGCTTTTTAAAAACGATTTCTTGGCCAGGTGTGGTGGCGCACACCTTTATTTCCAGCACTTGGGAGGCAGACACAGGTGGACCTCTGTGCATTCAAGGCCAGCCTGGTCTACAGAGTGAATTTCAGGCCTGCTGGGGCTACAAGGAGACCCTGTCTCAAAAAGACCAGAAAAAAAAATATTTCTTTTACTATTTGTGTGTGTGAGTACTGCACATGTGTGGGTGCCCAAGATAGCCAGAAGAAGGTGTCAGAGGCCCTGGAGCTAGAGTTATAGGCAGTTGTCAGCTGCCATGTGGGTGCTGCTGGGATCTGAATTCTGGTCTTCAGGAAGTGCTCTTAACCACTGAATCATCTCTCCAGCCTACCAACTAATTCACTTGCCTCACTTCCTGTGTGCTGGGATTAAAGGCGTGAGCCATGCCCAGTGTACTGGCCTCCTTTGTGTTGCTATGACAAGGCTTTTTTTTTTTTTTTTTTCTTTTTTTTTTTTTTTTTTTGAGACAGGGTCTCATGTAGTTCAGGCTGACTTGAATTCACTATGTAGCTAAGACTGACTTTGAGACTTTGGTCCTTCTGCCTCTACCTCCTGAATACCAAGATTATAAGCATATGCACCACCATGCTTGGCTTATGCAATGTTAAGGGTGGAACCCAGGACTTCATGCATCCTGGACAAGTACTCTACCAACAAGGTTACATTCCCTAGCCCCCAAAACAACAGCATTTCTTTTTTGTTTTTGATTCATGTATTTTCTGTGTATGAGTGTTTTGCCTGTATGTATGTAAGTGCATCCATGCATGCAATGCCTGCAAAGGCCAGAAGATGGTGTCAGATCCCCTGGAACAGGAGTTATGTGTGATTGTTAGTACCGTGTGGGTGTCTGTAATTGAACCCAGGTTCTCTGCAAGAGCAGTCCGTGCTCTTAACTGCTGAGCCAAGTCTCCAGTGTGACGGCAGCATTTCTTGATAAAGGTGTCCCTTACCCACATCCAATCTTGAGCTCACCCTCTTGAGAAGCAGAAGTACCTTGAAACTATGTAAAAATAGTCATGAGTGTGTTGACCGAATAATTGCTACAAGCTTCCAGAAATCTCTCTGCTTAGCCCAGGGACTGTTCAGGGGACAGAGAACCCAGCATGGGCTTCACTGGTACTGTGACAGGTTTACAATACTTAGACCCTCTCCTTGTACTTCCAGACACCTTCTCTCCGCACAGTGGGCAACGTTGTCACAGGGACGGATTACCATACCCAGCTGGCCATTGATGCCGGTATGCTGAAAGTGCTGCCCCAGCTCCTGAGGCACCCCAGGTCATCTATCCAGAAGGAAGCCGCCTGGGCCCTGAGCAATGTGGCTGCAGGACCCCGCCATCACATTCAGCAGCTGATCATGTGTGACCTGCTGCCTCCTTTGGTGGCACTGCTCAAAAATGTAAGTGGCAGAGCTGGGGAGAGAGTTGGTAAGGTGCCTGCCATGCAAACATGGGTATCTGAGTTCAATCCCCAGCATTCTCGTAAGAAGCTGGGCATGAAGCCACGTATTTGTTGTCCCAGCACTGGGGAGGCAGAGACAGGAGGATCCCTGGAGCTTGCTGGACCAGCCAACTTAGCCTAATGGGCCATCCCCAGGTCTCAGTGAGAGACTGTCTCAAACAAGGGGCTGGTAAGATGGCTCAGTGGGTAGAGGTGCCAAGCCTGATGACCTGAGTTCAATTCCTGGATCCCACATGGTGGAAGGAGAGAAATGGTTCCTGCAAGTTGTCCTCTGACCTCCACATGTGTGCTGTGGCACTCATCCCCCATCTCCCTCAGGCACAAATAAGTTAATATAATAAACATAAAGTGAAAACTCCTGAGGAACAACACCCAATGTTGACCTCTGGCTTACACATGCACACATGCACCACCACACATGAAACTCATAGGCACACACACCCAACACACATACCAAAAAAGATTTAAAAAAGAAAACCACCCAGTTATTATTCAAACAGTACACCTCTCAAACCATGTCTTTTGAACTATAAGTATTTGGGGTTTTTCCTGGTTTTTGAGACTATCTCACTAGCTCAAGGTGGCCTTAAACCCACCCTCCTTCCAACTCAGCCTCCCAAATGCTAGGTAGGCTTGTAACTGTGTGCTATAGTACCTTGGCTTTCCTGTTTGGTCTCTGTTTTGTTTTAGGATTATTTGTGTGTGTGTGTGTGTGTGTGTGTGCGCGTGCGCGCGCACGTGCGTGCAGTACTTGTGGAGCCCAGAAGAAGGCGTCAGATTCCCTGGAGCTGGGGTTACAAGCATTTGTGAACTGCCCAGTCTGGGTGTTAGGTACCAAATTTGGGTTCTCTGCAAGAGCAGTCCATGCTCTTTAACTGCTGAGCCATCTCTCCAACCCTGGTTTTTGTTTTTGTTTGTTTGACCCTTAGGGCAATTGTCCCCAGCTGTAAAATGGGAATAACTCATCTGCTCAGGAATCAAAGGACCATAGTAAATGAGCCAAGTACCCTCTGTTCACAGAGAAGATGGATGCATGGATCAATATTTTAGTGGTCTTTCTCTATAACCTTGGCCTGGCTTGGTCCCCTGGACCATGTCTCTGTGCCTGCTATATAATTTGTCCACCAAAAGTTTTATTAGGCAAAAAGATTTGAAATGTAGGCACAGGTCACTGTCATCTAGAGCCCTGAGTATAAGTCCTAGTCTGTATACATCTTCTGGACTGGTTTATGTTGGCTTCATTTCCCATATCACCACATAGAGAACTGAGTATACTTGGTCTTAGAGCCTCCCTCTCAGCTGGTGCTTGCCTGTGGGAGAATCAGGAGTTCAAGGTCATCTTTGGCTACATAGTGAGTTTGAAGCCACAGGAGTTTGAACTACAAGAGATCCTGTCTCAAAAACAGACCTGTTGGAATCGATCTGTTGACTTCATGGCTTCTCTCAAATGTTCTTTTCTTATCAAGAACTGGACTGGAGAGATGGCTCAGGGGTTAAGAGCACTGGTTGCTCTTGCAGAGGACCTGAGTTCAGTTCCCAACACCCACATGGCAGTTAACAACCATCTATAACTCTAGTTCCAGGGGATTCCGTGTGCTCTTCTGGCCTCCCTGGGCATTGTACAACACAAGTACCCTTACATACATGCAGGTAAAACAGTCATACACATAAAAATAATAAAATATTTTTTAAAATAATTGGAGGCAGGGAGCCAAGACATTCTACATAGATTGTGTACGCAGTCCTAGCTATCACCAGCTGACCTGGAGTGAACCAAGTCAAGGCCAGGCATGGCCTTGTAATCCCAGCGCTCAGGAGGCTATGACGGGAAGAAGATTACAAGTTGAAGGCCAGCGTAGGCTATATACCGAGTCCCAGGCTAGCCTCAGCTATATAGTGAAACTGGGGATGTGGCTCAATTAGTGGAGTGCTTGCCTAGCATGCACAAAGCCCTAGGTCCAATCGCCAGCACCACATAAACCAGACATAGGCAGTGTTCACCTATAATTACATCACTGGGAAGACAAGGAGGAGGATCAGGGGCTCAAGATCATCCTCAGCTCTGTAGTGTGAGTTCAGGGTCAACCTGGCTTACTTGAGGCACTGTCTCAACTAGAAGTGAATCAAGTCAACATTACTTTCCATATTTCCCAAAGGGGAATATGTGAGGAATGCAAGCCTCTGTCTCCACAGGCAGAATTCAAAGTCCAGAAAGAGGCCGTGTGGACTGTGGCTAACTTCATAACAGGGGCCTCCATAGACCAGTTGTCACAGCTTGTCCACTCAGGAGTCTTAGGGCCACTGATAAATCTGCTGACTGCCCTGGATGTGAGGATTGTTATCATCATCCTGGACATCATCTCTTTCCTCCTCCAGGTGAGCTGTTGAATAGGCTGATATGTAAACAGTAATCATCAACTGAATATATCATATGTACTTTCTTTTTAAGCCCCAATTGGCTTGGAACTCACTATATAGACCAGGCTAGGCTCAGACTCACAGAAGTCCCCCTGCCTCTCAGGTGTCAGGATTAAAGGCATGCACTACCATGCCTGGCCTTAATGTGCTTCTTAAAACCTATGTAGGGGCCACCAAGATGGTTTTGTAGGTAAGAGGTGCTTGCTGCCAAGCCTGACAACCTGAGTTTGATCCCTGGGACACATGGTAGAAGGAAAGAATTAACTCCTGTAAGTTGTCCTCTGACCTCCACACATGTGCTGGCATGGGGGGCAGGGGTGGGGAGGGAGAGAGAATAAAGTAAAAATGTTTTAAAAAACCAACAATTTTGGCTAGGGATGTAACTCATTTTTAAGTGCTTGCCTAGCTTGCATAAAGCCCTGGGTTCCACCCCAGCACAACATAAACCAGGTATGGTAGCTCACACTTGAAGTCCTGGCACTCGGGAGGTGGAGGCAGGAGGATCAGGAGTTCAAGGTCTTCCTCAGCCACATGAGACCCTGTCTTGAATGAACAAATGAATGAATGAATCTTGAGTGGAATTCTATTTCTCCCATTCCTCCCAGATCCTGTGGACAACACAGAGATATCTCAGAAAAGGACCCCAAGCCAAGTTTGACAGCATACACCTGTAATCCTAGCACTCAGGAGTCAGAAGCAGGAGAATCTCAAATTAGAGACCAGCTGGGGTTCTACCGCATATTTGAGGCTAACTTGGGCTACCCAGTTAGTCCCAGGCTAGGAAAATAAAAAAAGACCATGGACTCTGTTTTCTCAAATGAATGTCTGTTCCCAGTGCTGAAAATAGACCTTGTTCTAATGGAGCCTGTGCACTACTGATGCATGGGACAGGCACTAGCTGGTCTATGTGGGGAGTGGTGGCTGTCATATGCACAGTGCTGGGGGGAGGCATGTTTTCCTTGGAGCATCTTGGGTAGAGATTTGAAAGTGAATGGGTCTTGTGGACACTTGGGAAGAACTTTTCCAGGCAGAAAGAATTGCAAGAGAGAGGCATGAGAAGCTCTGCAAATGAACAGGGACAGAGAGGGAGCCTACCAGATCATGCAGGGGCTGGGAAGGAAGGAGATTTGTCCTGTGTGACACAGAGACATCCACCACAGGTTGGAAACAAAAGTCAGCTACTAAGTGCTCTGTGTGTGTCTATGTCTGTGTTGTATGAATGTGTATGAGTTCATGTGTATGTATGGTTACATGTGCATTAATGTGGAGACCAGAGGTTGATACAGGGTATCTATCTCATTTTCCACCATGTAGATTCCAGGGATGGAACTCAGGTAGTCAGAATTCACTGCAAGCACCTTTACCCACTGAGCCATCTCACTGGCCCCTCTATACCTTACTTTAAAAAAAAAAAAGAAGAGGGGCTGGAGAGATGGCTCAGCGGTTAAGAGCACTGACTGCTCTTGCAGAGGACCCGGGTTCAATTCCCAGCCTCATACACATAAAATAAAAATAATAAAATATTTTTTAAAAAGATTTATTTTATTTGAGACAGGGTCTCCCTGTAGCTCCAGCTGATCTGAAACTCACTATGTAGACCAGGCTGGCCTCAATCTTACAGAGATCTACCTGCCTCTGCTTCCTGAGTACTAGGATTAAAGGCATGTACCACCATGCCCAGCAAGATTTATTTTTACTTGTGTGTATCTGCAGAGATACACAGAGACCTGCAGAGGCCAGAAGTATTGAGTGCCCTGGAGTTGGAGTTACAGGCCGTTGTGAGCTGACCGACATGGGTGCTGGCAACCCAACTGGGGTCCTCTAGGAGAGCAGTACATGTTCTTAACTGCTGAACCATCTCTCCAGTCCTATCCACTTTAATTTTCATTTTGTTTTATGTTTTTTTTTTCTTTTGAGACAGAGAGTCTCTGTAGTTCCAGCCAGACTGGAACCATGCAGACCAGGCTGGCCTAAACCTCACAGATACATCTGCCTCTGCCTCCCAAGTGCTGAGATTAAAGGTCTGTGCTACCACACTGAGTGTCCACTTTAGTTTTGAGATGAGATTTCTCACTGAGCCTGGAATTCACCCATCGTGCTGGACAGTGGGCTGCATGGATCGTTCAGTCTCTGCCTCCCTAGTGCTGGGATTACAAGTGTGTGCTACCATGCCTGGCTTCTTATGTGGGTGTTGAGGATCCAAACTCAGGTCCTCATGCTTGTGAGGCACTTTACCTACTCAGCCAGCTCCCTAACTGCACCATTAGGCACTTCTAAACAGTGAGTGTAAAGCCAGCAAGATGACTTGACCATTAAAGGTACTTGCCACCAAGTCTAATGACCTGAGTTCAATCTCAGAACCCACATGGTGGAAGGAAACAACCGACTCTCCAAAACTGTCCTCTGACCTCCACACGCATACATGGTATGTACATGCCTGTGCATGTGCACGCACGCACACACACACACTAATAATGACAACAATAAACTTAAACAGTGTCCTCTTTGAGACTAAGAATATACTTGTGAGAACAGCAAAAAGTTAGCAAAGATAAATTCTTTATTTTTATTTTATGCATGAGTGCTTTGCCTGTACGTATGTAAGTATATTCATGCCACGCAATACTCATCGCCCTGTCTCAGTCTCCCAAGTGCTGGGGTCACAGGTATGCACCACCAAGCCCCACTCTTATCTCTGGTTTTCAAAAAGACACAGTGAACCATCAGGGATTAAGTTATGAAAAATGTGTGGGACAGGCTTAGAAGGTACAAATCCTGAATTGTTCTGGGCCATGATAAGACAATGGCATTCCCCACAGAAGGGACAGTAAGGACAAAGGGTTGAAGGAACAAGCATTGTGTGTGGTGAGATGAGGAGAATAACAAATACCCTTAATGAATGAGCTGGGTATGGTGGTGCACATCTGTAATCACAGCACTTGAGAGGCGGAGGCAAGGGGATCAGGAGGGAAGGTCATTCTTGGCTACATAACAACTTCAAGGCCAGCCTGGGTTACATGCCATTCTGTCTCGGAAAACCAAAATGAGTGCTGGAGAGCTGGCTCAGGTTAGGAACACTGGCTGCTCTTGGCAGAGGACCCAGGTTCAGCTCCCAGCACCTGCATTGGATGGCTTGGTGCACTTAACATATATGCAGACAAAACACACATATACAATAAAAAACTTTTAATGAATGCATGAATGAATCTATGGGTGAATTTCTGTGTGAATGCATCCATGCGAATGCATTCCTGTGTGAATGAGTGAACAGATGCATGTGTGAATTCACAAATGCATGCATGTACACATGCATGAGTGAATACTGAATGAATGAAACGGAGCTGTTTTGCTATTCCAGTGGGTGTCTCTGACCCTCCCACTGGGCTGGGTCTGTTTCCAGGGAGGAAAGCTCCCTTGGGGGCCAGCAGAGGTTCCACCTCCCCAGGCACTCAGGGTCTCCTGATTTTGTTTTTTGCCCCGCCCCCAGGAGGCAGGCATGCAGAGTGAGAAGGAAAGCCTGTGTGTTCTGATAGAAGAAAGTGGCGGTCTTGATAAAATTGAGGCCTTACAGCTGCATGAGAACCAGCACATTGGCCGGGCAGCTCTGAAGATCATTGAGAACCATTTCTGTGAGGTGAGTGACTTTTGAGTGAAAACAAGTTCCCTGTGTCCTGGAGGCCACCAGGCCACCACTTTGCCTGTGAGGGTGCCTTGAGACAGGTGACCAGACAGACTGGCTTCTCTCCTACCTTTCTTGAGCTCAGCTGGGTGCTTCCCCTATGGGTGGCCTTGGAGTATTGAGAAGGTTGTCTGTGAATTGGGGAGATGGCTCAGTGGTAAGTGCTTACTACACAAGCACATAGATCTGACTTTGAACCCATGTATAAAAGCTAGGCCTGGTGGTGCACATTTGTAATTCCAGCACTGGAGAGGCAGAAAGAGGCGATCCCTGGGGCATGCTGGTCAGCTAGGCTAGCCAAATCATCAAGTTCTAGTCCAGTGAGAGACTTTGTCTCAAAAGAAACCCCAGTAACAATGTGAAGGGGCTGATGAGATGGTTCAGTGAGTAAAGGAGCTTGCTGCCAAGCCTGATGGCCTGTTTGATCCCCGGGACCCACACAGTGGAAGCAGAGAGCTAAGTCCTGAAAGTTGTCCTCTGACCTCCACTTGTACTGTGTATTAGGTGTACATCCACCCACATACATACACATACATGTATGCACACACATACATGCATACACACATGCACACAACAAATAAATGTTAAAACCAAACACTATGGGTAGATCCTGAGGAATGACAAATCAAGGTTGACCTCTGGCCTCCATAAACACACATACATACATACATACATACATACACTCAAATACATGTACACATTTACACACATACACATGTGCACACATGCACACATAATAAACATGTACACATCCATAAACACACATGTGCATGCCCATATGCACATATACACATGTGCACACATGCACATATGCATATATACATAAACATATATGTACATGAAGCTGGTCGAAATTCATGGGAGTTCGTCCCTTTGGCTTAAAACTTTAATTTTCTTGCCTCTTTGTTTTTATTTTTTAAATTTTGTTATTTTTATTCTATGTGTATGAGTGTATTGCCTGCATGTGTATAAGTGCACCTGTGTCGTTCTTGCATCTTTTTAGGGAGATGGAGAGGGAGGGGACCAAACACTAAAAATGACTTTCTATTCAAGAACGCAAGCAGTGTATTGTCTGACCAGAAGCCTCAGAGATCCACCTGTCTTCATTCACCCAGTACTGGGGTTACAGGTCAAACCTTTTTTGTTTGTTTGTTTAAGACAGGATCTCTCTGTAGTCCCAGCTGGCCTGGAACTCACTATATAGACCAGGCTGGCCTCCATCTCACAGAGATCCACCTACCTCTCCCTCCAAGTGCTGGGATTAGAGACATGAGCCACCACACCCAGCCATACCCAGCTTTTTTACATGAGCACCAGAGAATGAAGTCAGGTCCAGCTTAGCTTTCAGAAAACCTTTTTTTCCCTGACTGCATTTTGTCTCTTTCTAGAATTACAGAATTTGGAGATGAGTTATACAAGATGTTTCTGTTTTCTATGAATCAGGAAATGGGGATCAGATAACATTAAAGTTTTATAAAGACTTATTGAGTGGTAAAATATACATAAATTTGAATTTTGCCAGTACACCACTTATCTGGGTGTGGTAGCACACAACTGTAATTCCAGAACTCAGTGGGTGAAGGCAGGAGGATCAGGAGTTCAGTCAGCCTGGACTACATGAGACCCTGTCTCAGAAAAACAGGGATGGGAGGGCTAGGGAGATAGTTCAGTCGGGTAAAGTGCTTGCTGCACAAACATCAGAATCTAGATTTGGATCCCCAGCATCCATGTAGAAAGCTGGGCACAGCAGCACTTGAAATCCCAGCACTGAGGAGGCAGAGACAGGAGGACCTCGGGCTCACTCGCCAGTCAGTGTAACCTAATCAAGGAGTGCCAGGTTGAGTGAGAGACCCTGTCTTAGAAAAATAAGGTAGAGAGCGATTGAGGAAGATACCTTATGTCAATCTTGCCCTCTCCACATGTGCACAAACACCTACACATATATGCACACACGCAAACATGCACACACACACCACATATACACATAGAGCCAGTCACAAAAGAACAAAAATTCTGTGATTCCAATTCTGTGAGGTCCCAAAAGAGTGATCAAATTCACAGAGACAGAATGTGGAGAGTGGTGAGTGCCGGGGCTTAAGCAGAGTGGAAGGCGGGGTGTTAGTGTTTTAGTTTTGCAAGATGAAAAATTATAGCGCTAGGTAGCATGTGTATGTTCTCAGTACCAGTGAGGTTTACCTAGCAATTAAGATTGGGCCAGTGAGACAGGTCAGTGAGTAAGGGCACTTTGCTGCCATGCCTGACAATCTAAGTTCAATCCTTGGGACCCCATACTGGAAGGAGAAAGTTGACTCGCACAGATTGTCCTCTGACCTCCACATGTGCCTTGGAATGTGCATATAGACCCAAATGTAAGAAAAAATTGTTAAGATGAAGCTAAACCCAGTCCTCATGTGTGATCCTAGCATTTGGGAGGAAGAGGCAGGAGGATTAGGAGTCTTAGGCCAGCCTTGGCTATAAAGCAAGATTGAGATTAGCCTAGGCTACATGAGAGTGAGACCCTCTCTTTCTTGACAGCTTGTTTGGAGGTTCTAGCAGGGGAACACAGCTGCTTGTATACTCTTGACTGAAGACCGGTCCTCCTCTATCGGGAAACGTCATCCTCTTCGACCGAGTGCACAGCTTCGGGAGGGATGCACGTGGAACATTAAGGGAGGAAGGGGACACCCGCCTAGCCAGCTAGATCAGCTGAATCAACCCTGGCAATCAATGGGGTGACAGATGTTGCAGCCAGATTGCCCTCAAATTCAGAGACCCTCTTTCTTAAAAGAAAAAAAAAAATGAAGCTGGCCAGATGCAGTAGTATACATCTGGCATCCTAGGACTCAGGAGAATTGACATTTAGAGGCCAGTCTGGGCTACATAGCATGATCCTGTCTCAAAAAACTACAGCAAACTTTTGTTGTGTATATTTTGTCACAGATACAACTCCATTTAGAGCCTGTCTTAAGGTCTTGGAGAGATGGTTCAGTCAGTAAAGTGCTTGTGGTGTAAGCATGAAGACCTGAGTTCATTCTCCAGTGCTCATGTGAAAATGTCCAGCATGGCTGGGTGTGGTGGCTCGTGTCTCTAATCCCAGCACTTGGGAGGCAGAGGCAGGTGGATCTCTGTGAGATGGAGGCCAGCCTGGTCTACATAGCAAGTTCCAGGCCAGCTGGGGCTATAGGGAGATCCTGTCTTAAACAAACAAACAAATAAAAACAGCTTGATTTGTAATCCCAGCACTGGGTGAGTGATCTCTGAGGCTTGCTGGCCAGCCAGCCTAGCTTAATGGGTGAGCCCCAGGCCAGGAGACCCTGTCTCAAAACAATAAAAAAAAAAACACCCTAGGTTAGGACTAGAGAGATAGCTCAGAGGTTAAGAATGCACACTGGGGCTGGAGAGATAACTCAGCAGTTAAAAGCACTGGCTGCTCTTGCAGACAACCCAGGTTCAGTTCCCAGCACCCACATGGCAGCTAACAACCATCCTTAATGCCAGTTCCAAGGGATCCAACACCCTCTTCTGGCTTCCTGTGGCATTGCACACATGGGTGCACTTAGATACATGCAGGGGAAACTCATACACATAAAAATAAAATTTTAAAAAATTTATTATTTTTATTTTATGCGTATGAGTATATTGCCTGCATGTACATAGGTGCACCCGTGTCGTGCAATGCTGTAGCAGTCAGAAGAGGGCATTGGATTCCCCTGGAGCTAGAGTTAAGGACGGTTTGTAGCCACCATGTGGGTGCTGGGAATTGAACCCGGGTCCTCTGCAAGAGCAGTCAGTGCTCTTAACCACTGAGGCATCTCTCCAGCCCCAGAATTAAAAAAAAAAAAATTTACATGATCTTTAAATACTTTGCTCCTCTGAGGGACCTCAAGGTCACTTGAGACAAATTCTAGAATTTCTTAAAGCAAGTTCTAGTCCATGCTGGGAGCCTTGGGCTCTAACAGTGTCTGTTCTTCCTTGAAGGATGAAGACGGTAACAGTTTTCCTGGTCCAGGGCCAAGAGTATGAATGTATGAAGCTTTAAAACGCATACAGAGCCCCTCACAGCTTCACAATAACCAGGCGATGAAAGGTTAGCAACTTTGAGAAAATCCATGCCTGCCTTTTACTTTGTCACTTGTAAAGTTTTTAAAACTTAATAAAATGTTCAATACTTTTATCTCTTGTGGTTTTATGGTACTTGTTGCTATGACAAAATGACCTGACAACAGCAAATTAAGGAAATATTTTGGCTCACAGTTTGAGGACACAGTCCACCATGATGGGAAGGCATGGTGGCAGGAGTGTGAGGCAGCTGCTCACATGGCATCCACCGTCAGGAAGCAGAGAGATGAATGCTGGTGCTCAGCTCGCTTTCTCCTTTTTATTCAGTCCAGGACCCCAGCTCATGGGGTGGTGCTGCCCACATTCAGGTTGGGTCTTCCCTCCTCAGTTAATCTCGTAAACCTGTCACCAGGGGCGGGGAAATGGCTCATCAGTTAAGCCACTTGCTGTACAAGTGTGAGGACTGGAGTTCAAGTTCTGACTGCACCCCCAGAAATCTATATAAATGTCAGGTGGGTGTGGTGGCATGCATGCAATTCCAGCCTTGGAAGGTGGAGACAGGATCCCCAGAGCAAGGTGGCTAGTGAGGTTAGCCATATCAGTGAGCTCTGGGTTTGATTGAAAGACTCTGCCTCAATGAGTAGGGTGGGAGGGCAATGGAGGATGATTCCTGACATCAGCTTTGGGCCTCCACATGCACGCATACCCACATGAAAAACAAGAAGAAAAGAAATCTTTCACAGACACACCCAGAGGTTCGTGTCCTAGGTGAGCCTTTATCCTATCTCAGTGGTGATTAATACTAACCATCACAGAGTTGGATTTTTCTTCTAATTATTTTTAAATTTTCATTGTGTAAATTCATTGTACATGGTATGTACTGTGTTACATAAAGATGCTTTTAATTACATTTATTTGCATGTGCACACGTGTGTGTGCCACAGAGCATGTGTGGAGCTCAGAAGACAATTTTCAGGAGCTGGTTCTCTCTTTCCACCATGTGGGTCCTACAGACCCAACTTAGGTCATCAGGCTTGGTGGCAAGTACTTCTATCCTCTGAGCCATCATGCCAGCACCAGGGTATTCTCATACAATTATATATTGCACATTGAGTATACTCCCTCCAGAGTGCTGGGATTAAAGGCATGTGCCACCATGTCCTGCTATGTATTTTAGAAAATCTTTTACTACATTTGTTGGGTGTATGAGTGCATGTGCACATGTGGAGGTCAGAGAACTACTTGGTTTGTTTTTTTTTTTTTTTTTTTTGTCTTTTTGAGACAGGGTCTCCCTGTAGCCCCAGCTGTCCTGGAACTCACTATGTAGACCAGGCTGGCCTTGAACTCACCGAGATCCGCCTGCCTCTGCCTCTGCCTCTGGGATTAAAGGCGTGCGCCACCACACCCAGCTAGAGAGAACTACTTGTAGGAATCAGTTCTCACCTTCCAACATGTGGAACCAGGGATTGAACTCAGGTCATCAGTCTTGGTGACAAGCACCTTTACCTGCTGAGCCACCTGGCTGGCCCTCTGTTTCAGGGTAGGTACTTGTAGCTATAATCTTTCCTCCTAATAATGCTTCATTGTCCCTGGAGGTGGTGTGCTGTGTTTTCCTTTTCATTGGATTCAAAGAATTTTAAATTTCCTTCTCAATTTCTTCAGAGACCCAATTTTCATTTGATAGTGTGTTGTTCAATCTCTCTTCATGAGTTTGCTTGTGTTCTGCAGTTTTTCTTGCTGTTGATTTCTGGTGTGGTTCCACTGTGGTCGGACAGAACATAAGAAATTATTTAAATTTTTCTACATTTGTTAAGAAATGCTATGTCAGGGCTGGAGAGATGGCTCAGCGGTTAAGAGCACTAGCTGCTCTTGCAGAGGACCAGGGTTTGATTCCCAGCACCCACATAGCAGCTAACAACCGTCTGTAACTCCATTTCCAGGGGAATCCCATGCCTGCTTCTGACCTCGGTAGGTATTGCATGACACAGGTACACCTGCATGCATGCAGGCAATATACTCATACACACAAAATTAAAAAAAAATTAAAAAGACATGCTTTCTGTCTTGGTATGTGTCTATTTAGAGAAAGTTCCATGGACTTCTGAGAAGAATGCATATTCTGCAGTGTTTGGTTGGAATGTTCTATAAATATCTGTCAGGTCCATTTGATCTATGATATCATTGAATTCAAATGTTTGACTGTTTCTGTCAGGATGATTTGACTGTGGGTGAGAGTAGGGGTCTAAAGTCACCCACTATTATTGTGTTGTATTAATCTGCCTTTACATATAATAGTACTTATTTTATGAAATTGGGTGCACCCATATCTGGGGCTACATGTTTAAATTTGTAACGTCCTCAGGTCAGTGAGATGGCTCAGTGGGTAAAGGCTGCCAAGTCTGATGCTCTGAGTTCAATCCCTGGAACTCACATGGAAGGAAAGAACTGACTCCTGAAAGCTGTGCTCTGTCCTCCACACCCATGCTGTGGCATGCATGCACACATATACACAGAAAACAAATATTTAAAAATTGTGATGTCAAGCTGGGCATGGTAGCACATGCCTTTAATCCCAGCACTTGGGAGGCAGAGGCAGGCAGATCTTTGTGAGTTCGAGGCCAGCCTGGTCTACATAGTGAGTTCCAGGACAGCTGGGGCTACAAGGAGACCCTGTCTCAAAAAGACAAAAAAAAATTGTAATGTCCTCTTGACAGATTATTCCCTTAATCAGTATAAAGCTATCTTCTTTATCTCTTCAAATGTGGGGTTGAAGTCTGTTTTTCCAGGTATTATGCTTGTCCATAGTTTCACACTTGGAATACCTTGTTCCTTCCCTTTACCTAAGGTGGCACCAGTCTTTGAGGGCAAGGTATATCTCTGGGAATCAATAGGGATGGGACCTGTCTTGGGTTTTTTTGCTTTCTTTTGTTTTTTCAGACAGGGTCTCCCTGTAGCCCCAGCTGTCCTGGAACTCACTATGTAGACCAGGCTGTCCTCAATCTCACAGAGATCTGCCTGCCTCCAGAGTGCTGGGATTTGTCACCATGCCTGACTCCTTTTCGAAAAAATATTTAAAGTACATTGTGTGTGTGTGTGTGTGTGTGTGTGTGTGTGTGTGTGTCTTTGTGATTGTGATTGTGTGCATGTTCCACAGTGTGTGGAGGTCAGAGGACAACCTGCAGTGTTGAGTCTCTCTTTCTACCATGTGGGGCCAGGAGAAGGAACTCAGATCATCAGACTTGGCAGCAAGCCTCTTTACCTGCTGAACCATCTTGTTGCCCACTTTATTTTTGGACTGTTGTAAATGACAGGCAATCCACACTATACCTCAACAAGGCCATAAGCTGTTCAGATATATTCAGACTTTAAAATAAACCCAAATCCACATAATTCCAGTGTAACTGGGTTTTGTCTTGTCTTTGAGATTCACTTCCATTTTTCTGGGTGCAGTGTTATAAATTGAACCTTAAAGGAAAAATGTTCCCAGTCTCAAAGTTAAATCTATTTCTTTTTTTTTAATCTATAATCTATTTCTTTCTCTCCTTCTTTCTTTCTTTCTTTCTTTCTTTTCTTTCTTTCTTTCTTTCTTTCTTTCTTTCTTTCTTTCTTTCTTTCTTTCTTTCTTTCTTTCTTTCTTTCTTTCTTTTTTTTTTTTTCCCGAAACAAGGTCTCATAAGCCCAGGGCAGTCTTGAACCGCTATGTAATGGAGGATGAACTTGAACTCCTGATCCTCCTGCTTCTGCCTCCTGAGTGCTGAGATGACAGGCATGCACTACCATGCCCAGTTTATGCAGTGCTGGGATGGAACCCAGGGCTTTGTGCATGCTGGGTAAACACACTGCCAATTGATCTATATCCTCAGTCACCTGCAATGGTTTTCAAAAAACATTTGTGGCGTGTGTATGCTCCATGCACATGAATGTCCAGGTATGTGTACCCCTGCACGTGTGGAGCTCAGAGTAGGGCATAGTGTCCTCCTTATGGTTCTGTCTTCCTGCCTTGAGACAGGGTCTCTCAGTGAGTCAGAAGCCTGCATTTGGGCTAGGCTGGCTGGTTAGTGAGCTCTCAGGATCCGTCTGCCTCTGCCCCCCAATGCCAGGGCTACAGACACATGCAGTCATGCTGGGCTTTTTATGGGAGTGCCAAGGATTTGAACTCAGGTCCTCATATTTGCAGAGCAAGCAGTCTAACCCACTGAGCCATCTCCCCAGTCCCCTTCATGCAGTGTTTTAAAATATACCGCGGTGCTTATGTAGAAACCCTTCTTATGTATATCTAAGCATGGGCTTGGCAGCCTAGAATTATGTTCTTCAATTCTTGAAAAAGTGGGGGCTGGAGAGAAGGCTCAGCAGTTAAGAGCACTGGCTGCTCTTGCAGAGGACCCAGGTTTGATTCCCAGTACCCATATGGTGGCTAACAACTGTCTGTAACTCCAGTTCCAGAGGATCCGACACCCTCTGCTGACCTCCACGGGCACTGCATGTCATGGGTGCACCTACCTACATGCAAGCAATACATTCATACACATTAAATAAAAATAACAATTTTTTTTAAATACTTAAAAGTTGGGGAAGGGGCGGTAAGATGGTTCAGCAGGTAAAGGCGCTTGCTGATAAGCCTGACAACCAGAGTTCAGCTACCAGACCCATACAGCAGAGGAGAGAACTGACTCCTGCAAGCTGTTGTCTGGCCTCCACAGAAAATATATTGTTTTTTATTTTTAAAATTTTTATATGTGTATGTATGTATTGCCTGCATGTGGGTAAGTGCACCCATGTCATGCAATGTCTGCAGAGGACAGAAGAAGCTGTCGGGTCCCCTGGAACTGGAATTAAGGACAGTTGTTAGCTGCCGTGTGGGTGCTGGGATTCGAACCCCGGTCTTCTGCAAGAACCACCAGTGTTCTTAACCACTGAGCAATCTCTCCAGCCCCATAAATTGTTTTTTAATCTAATATTTTCTTTCCTGGAACTTCTGTTAACCTTCTAGAAATTGAC